ATAGATATATAGATAGATAGATAGATAGATAGATAGATAGATAGATAGATAGATAGATAGATAGATAGATAGATAGATAGATAGATAGATAGATAGATAGATCTTACGTTACTTGCGTTCATTAAGGCAGCTAGCAACTTTGAGGGAAACACCTCGTTGGGGTGCATCTCGCTCGAGTGCGCTGCTTGTCGATGCGCCTTGACGGAGTGGCGACTCAGGTCCAAAGGCACAATCGAAGATGTCGATGGCGTCGCTCGCGACAGGCACTGCGCTACGACGTATATCACGTGGCATGTCATCGCCGCGCCATGACGGGCGCGAATGCATCCTCTCGGGAGCAGCGTCGGTCGAATCGGGGCGACAAAGGGCGTGGACTCCATCATACACCAATATCGGTGGCACCACCACGACGGCGACGCCAACCGCGACGGCGCCCGCTGCAACGGCAACGCCGACACCAAGGACACCCGCGACGGTCTTGGTCACAAACCGGACAGGCGCGATCGGGCCAAAGGCCCAATGCGTCGAGCGCACGCATGCGACCGGCAGACACAGCGCATGGTTGTGGTCAGCCCACTTGATGCGGCAGCGCCAGCAAAAATCGTAGTGGCAATACGTGCACTTCATGTGGCTGCAACCGCCGTCTTTCTCGATGGTCGTCGAACACTGTGGGCAGCGCTGCGCAGCGTGCGAGTGGCACCACGAGCGATACTGTCGGTCGCACTGCGGCCATCGATGGTAGGCGTCGCCGCAGTCGCGACACGACGACTGCTGGCAGCTCGGACAGTCGACGCGGCGCTTGTTCATCTTCTTGTTCTTGTGGGAGGTTGCCGTCGGCAGCAGCTGGCCGCACTGCGGTCGCGGGCAGTATCGATGGCCGCGCTGACGGAGCTCGTACGACGTGAGGAACTGAATGTACTTTTGGAGATAGCTTGGGGACACAAACTGGGCGAGCACGGCCCGTGCAATCGGTTGCCGGCACTGGCCGGGGCACACGAGTTGGTGCGGCGCGACGTCACCATCCGCAATCTTGTGAATCAAGTACGAGCCAAAGCAGTTGCTGCAGCAGTTGGTGTCACAGCGTTGGCAGCGGTGGGCACGCTCAACGGGTCGGTCTTCGAGGCAGATGACACATAGCGCAGTGACTGGCAGAGTGACGAGGTGGTCGCTATCACCGCTGACATTGTTTTCCGCGTCGTCCAGTGGGATCGTGGGCTAGAGACGAATGATTGAGTGAGCCCAAATATGTCAATGAACAAAGGGCAATGTACGAGGAATGGTGGTGGGCGTCGACACGGAGGGCGGACCATCGGTTCGATGAGAGAGTCGAGAGAGGATGTGGGACCTTGGAGGCCAAATGAACACTGACCTTCTGGCCCGAGGACCAGAATGCTGGACGACCAACATTCACTTTTGGATTTGCTGCTGAATTGGCAACCCGATTTACAACCACACAGCATTGGTGAGTTGCGTGACATTCCTGTAGAAATAGATATCGTATACCATATGGTATGCATTGCTACAGGTTTCCCGGCCCTCCTGGCAGTCGAGCGAGGACTTTTTTTGCTCGTCTTGGTGACACTCGCAAAGCTCGAGCGGTGTAAATGAGCCAGTCAAACGTCAATTACGAAGAGGAAAGGGGAGGAGGGGATGATCGATGGCAGTTGAAATCTCTGTGCTCTAGAAACGTGCCAGAAAAGTGCTAATCTGTCTGTGTTTCCGGATTTTCCGCATAAAAAGTGGGGCGTTGGAGGGTCAAGTTCAGTCAAAGCATCTTTCGACACGATTGCAAACGTCATGGATGATACGCAGGCATGCAACGAGCTGCACACAACACTCGACTTTACCTGATATTGGTACCAAGCGAAACAAATGACGCCATGACCTTTCTCCAAATCACGCACGGGCTATAGCCTCGGATCTGGTTGAAGGACCTGTGTCTTACGTACCAGTATTGGAGAGCTTTTTTGTCGGTCAAGAAAAAAATGCAGTATGTATATTGCCAGCGTTTTGATCCAAACTAGCTTCTAGTACCATCCTCACCGCCTTTACAAGCGCGAAAGCAATGGAAACCGGGGCGATTCACTTCATGGGGCGCTGTCGAGACGATGTACTATCAACGGGATCCCTCTCAATTGTCACCGGCACCGTTCGGTAGGAACAGCGCTCTCGACGCGTGTCGCCGACGTAGTGTTGGGGGCGGTCGGGGGACGGCGATATCGCGCACGATGATAGGCGTCGAAGATGGGCACGACGATAATGGCGATGCCCACAATAAATGCTCCGGCGACAAGGCCGACGCCAGCGACCACGGTGCCAAACACAGTTTTGGTCACGAACCGAACCGGTGCGACTGGGCCATAGAGCCAATGGTCGGAGCGTATGCACATCCGCGGCCAGCAGAGCGCGAGTCGATGGTCGCTCATGGTGATGCCGCAGCGCCAGCAAAACTCATTGTAGCAGTACGCACATTCCATGCGATGACAACCGTCGATCTTTTGAATCACCATCGTGCACAGCGGGCAGCGCTGCGCGTCGTGCGCGTCGCACCACGCCTTGAACTCGACGTTGCAGTTCGGTCGCTCATGGTACACGCCGCCGCAGTCGAGGCACGACGACTGCCGACAGCTCTCACAGTCGAGCCGGCGACTGTTTTTGCTGTGTGCGGTGCATAGCACCTGGCCGCACTCGGGCCGCGGGCAATACCAGTAGCCGGTCTGGCGCCGCTTGGACGCAAGCACGAGGCGGTCGTATTTTTCGAAGAGACTCGTGGACAGGACGACGACAAGCACGAGCCGTGGGATCGGTCGCCGGCAATGGCCGGGGCACACGAGCTGGTGGGGCGCAACATCGCCGTGCTCAATCTTGTGCGTCACGTACTCGCGGAAGCATTCAACGCAGCAGTTGGTATCGCACTCACGACAGTGGCGGGCATGTTTGGTTGGTCGTTCGTCGAGGCAGATAGCGCATTTTGCGGACGTTTTTAGTGTTTGGTAGAAATTCATTGTACGTCGATGGTCTATGACCGTTCGGTGAGATCATGTCCGGTCTACAGAAGGATGTACATATAGACTAGTTCGTTGGTATGTGGAGGTCGGAGGACAAGGCAGGGAATGGTTCGTGGCCTTTTGCTCGAAATGGAAACTGAGGACACGAACGACTGACACCAATGGTCATCACCGAAGAACACACTCCGAATGATGGATGGGTCGAGAGAGACAGGTAAGAAGCTTCAACATTCAAGATTATTCGACGTTGCTCCACTATGTTCATACTGAAAGGAGGTCGTTTTCAGAAAGACTCCAACCTACAGCGAGTGCTGCCTGTTTCACCTGTACCTTGTACGCTTTACACCCGGCAATGTCCTGTCTACTAGCCATAGTTGGCCTGACAGCAAGTGGTCGTAGAGTCATTCAGCAAATGGCAAATTGTTTTGCTGACACCAGAACGTAATCACATCAGAATGATGGTGGTACCATCACTCCTGCTAGAATACTCCAACTTTGACCATCTTGCGAGTGGGCACACGAGAAACACTGCGTCGGCGCCAAGAGCGCGCAAATGAGCCAGCTTGGTCCAGCGGGCAGTGGTGCAATCAACACGTAGCTCTACATGAGCAACAAGCGCTGCTGTCGAATAAACAATACGTGCTCGGTCGTCACCTTGTCGTTGTTGTTGTCGCAAGAGTCGATGCTTGCGTGGAACTGGTGCCGTGAATAGTTGATCAGTCGAGTCCAACGGCTCTCCTTGTGGCCGTGTATCGACGAGTCCAACGACGGATATCATATCAACTTGATTGTTCGGTGCCTCTCAAAGTATTTTTCAGGGTGCTTTGCATTCGTGCGACAGAAACTGCCACCTGTTGGCAGGACACGCTCGAAGCACCGTCTCCGTCTCCTGCGTTTGGTGAATCGCAGGAGACCGAGACGGTGGCTCAAGCGTGCCGAATCCGAGCACCCACAACACAATTCTTCGTGGCGAGCAGCAAAAATAGATAAAACAATTTTTCCCCTCATTTCCTCTGCAAAAACAAACATTAAACATTAAAACACTAACAATGGTCGTCTCCGCACGTCTCGGATCCCAACACATCCCGATCATACAAAAATCGGATATGAAGAAACAGACGAGAATATTCATTCATGCCATTGACGGTGATTGTCAACTCGCCGCCCAATCTCACCGGAATCGCTCGCTTTTGGCGCATCTGTCAGTTCTTATATAGATAGATAGATAGGCCGCCCAATCTCACCGGAATCGCTCGCTTTTGGCGCATCTGTCAGTTCTTATCACGCGCCCTCGGCCTCACATCCGTGTCACGCCACTAGATGCCATGGTGCCCCCTTGCCACCCGTACCCTGTACGCTCTCTAACCTCTATAGACACGTATATCTCACGTGATCCAAACGTAGAAGAACGCCTCGTCGTCTTTGGTTGTCTTGTTCGATGAAGCCGACGTCGCGCGGTGGCACCGTGCCACGTCCGAGCCGCATAAAATCTGCTTGATCTGCCTCGACGATCAACCCATGGCGCGCGCCCATCAATGTTTGCACTGCGACGCCAGCATCTGCAACGACTGCTTTCGCCAGTATTTGACGCACAAAATACAAAATGGTCAAGTCGCATACCAGCAGCTCGTGTGCCCCGGCCATTGCCGACGACCAATTCTTCGGGACACGATCCAGCAAATCGTGTCCCCCAGTCTTTTTCAGAAATACACTCGGTTCCTCCAAGCGATGGAGCACCGCGAGGCGGGTCAAGGCTACTGCCCTCGGCCGCAGTGTGGCCACCCGCTCTTGTCGCCGCCGTCGCACCAAAGCAAGCGCCGCGTCCACTGTGTGAGTTGCCAGCAGTCGTCGTGCCGCGACTGCGGCGAGGCGTACCACCGATGGCCGCAGTGCGACCGCGAGTACCGTCTCTGGTGCCGTACGCACGCGGCGCAGCGCTGCCCATCGTGTTCGGCGACGATTCAGAAAAACGGCGGCTGCAGCCACATGAAGTGCACCAACTGCCAACACCACTTTTGCTGGCGCTGTCACGCTGCGTGGAAAGACCACAGCGAAGCGCTGTGGTGGCCCCTCGCGTGCGTGCGTTCCAAGCACTGGGTCTTTGGCCCGACAGCACCCGTCCGGCTCGTCACCAAGACGGTCGCGGCCACGGTAGGCGCAAGCGCGGTCGTTGCTGCGGGGGCCGTCGTCGCCGGCGTCGTCGTCGGCCTCGCTGCCGTCGTGGTGCCACCACTGGCTGTCTATTGCGGCATCCGCGCGCTCCGTCGCGACCCGGAACAAGGCCCCGTCATCAACAGTCGAGAGTACCGCCGCCAGCAGCGCGCCACCCGTCGTGGTCGCCAGGGTCCTCCGCCACTCCACTAGGTCGTTTCAAGTGTCCACGTGGTTGGCGTTGGTTGTCAACGGCTCATATTCTGTTGTCTTCTAGTCCCATACCATTCTTGTCTTCACCCGTGCGTCACAAACTTCTAACGTCTTGCAGAACGACATTGCAGGACGGAGACAATAATGTTTTCTCAATGGTCTCTACGTATGCAAAGTCTTTGTGTAACAGCGAAGATAACGCGAAACACGTTCATATATATATAATGGCAGCGGCGCCAGGCTCGCAAATACCAGCAGCATTTGCTACACGGCGCACGTGGCCGGTAGCATATCCTGCGAATCGCGCGCGAGTTTTGTCAGCCTCGATTACGCCCTCACAACGAAATAAGAACGCCCAACATCATTTTCTTATTCAAAAGGATCCGTTGATATAGTCGACATCGTTCGACAGCAAAGACGCGAGTCGCCGCCAAAGCGCTCGGTCGAGTTGTTGGTCACTGGTCATTCACCATGCATTGAGGATCGCTTTGCAGTCGCGACAACGACGTTGGCGTGCGTCCAACAACGTCGAGATGGATGGCGTCGATCCCCCTCTTATAACGTCGGTGGTCACACCGCGGTCGCTGAGTGACACGCCGAACGTTCCAGAAATCGCTCGCAAGAAGCCGCTTCTTGGTGGTCGGCGCCAGGCTACTCACGTGTTACACTATCATAGACAGAGGGGGTCGGTACCTGCGACTGCGCGCCACCCAAAAGGAGACCCATGAGCGCTGAAGACGCGGCCGCGCGGGCCAGCGACGACGCACAACAGACGCGCCCTGCGGCTGCCACGTCACGGACCGACTTCAGACGGCACGCCACATCAAAATTTGAGTCGCCTCGAACTTCGAACTTCGATGCGTTGAACCGGCGTGTCAAAAAGACACGACTGATGTGGAGCGACCATTGCACACTGCGGCGCAGTCCCAACCCACGCAGCACGTCCATGTGCACGCGACGTGTCGAGCATTCGAAGCGATTGTAGTACGCGCATGGCGGGCGCGGTGCCACTGCCTCCGTCATCGTCCGATCAAATTTTACTACATTTATAATGACTTATCAAGCAGCGAGCTGTATCAACTCGAAAACGCATTCATTCACAGTATCAAATCTACCACAGAGGATACCAAATATCAGCGCTTCCGAGTCGATAATTCCGGGCTGAAATTCGGATATTCGGACACCCAATTCAGCCGGGTTGTCCGTAATTATGGTGCTGCGACGAGCGGTGGGTCCACACATTTGCGACTGCAACCGCCCCAGGAGTGACCGATACCTCCGATGCCTGCACGAAGTTGTACGCGGCGCCGCGGCCCGCCAGCCTTCCGCAACGCTGACCGATGTGGCGCCGTCGGCCTGACTGGTCCACGTGACACATCGAAGTTCGAAGTGAATGGAAGATCCAACAGATTGCCGCGTCAAAGTGCAATTTCGAGCATGCTGCTGCTACCGTCCGAGAGCGGCGAAGACGTCGTGTACGTTCACTACCACGAGCTCAACGCGTTCGAGTCGCCGCGCGCCTTCACACCGTCAAGCGCCGTCGACCGCGCGTGCCTCCTCTGCCACGAAAGTGTGGCCACGCTGCACGGCGATTTGGCCGACGTCGTCGACAACTTTGTCCATTGCGCAGGCTGCAACAGCTACTACTGCCATGGCTGCCTCCAGGACTACTTGGGCCACAAGATCGAGACGCGTCAGGTTCTGCCGAGCCAGCTCGTGTGCCCGGGCGCGTGTCAGCAACCGCTGCCGGCGACGACGCTGCAAGTGCACATGCGGCGCAGCGACTTTGCAAAGTACAATGCGCTCTTGACGCTGCCAAGCCCGTCCAACGAAGCGCTTGTGTGCCCACGACCGGGCTGCGGCTGCCCGCTCAAGCGCACCGAGCGTGGCCGCAAGGTGCACTGCCCTGCGTGCGGCTTGAACTCGTGTTACAACTGCGGCCGTCGCTTTCATTATTGGCCGCTTTGCCGCGCGCCCTTTGCGCGCTGCTGGCCCCACTGACACCACGATGCTGCACGTAATCGTATCCCTACGTCGCTACGCACGGCCGATTCTTGCTTCCACGCGATCCAAAATCCCTGCCCGCCAACCTTCCATCGCTCATTGTGCTGTGCGCAACACAAACGGTCGTCGCATCGACATCCGTTCTACTATCCATCAATATCCAAGTATCCGTTCATCCCATCCTCCAATTATCCATCCAGGCATCCAGTTATCCATGTACAATCTGCAATCGTCGAGCGCGAGGTCGACGTGCGTCGCACACGTAGCCTCGATCAACTTGCACGCAACCCTGAAGCGGCGACTCGTCGCATTTAAAAAAATCCCTTTATCTATCTACGTATCCAAGTATCCTTCCATCCAGGAATCCATATGTATTTCATTGCCCATCGAGCTATCCATACAATAGAATCTGCAAGCGAGCCGGTAAGCAGTGAGGTAAACAATCGTACGCACTCCTCGACGGTGATCCGACTGGAGCTTTGCCCTAGACCCTGGCAGACTAGTCTCGAATACTGTCTAGCTGTATAAGTCCGCTAACTGGCGAACTTAGACATTAATACAGCTACACAGTACTAGTACTACATGCTATTCTCTAATACTGTAGTATTAGAGAATAGCCTGCCAGGCAAGAGGATACAACAAATTTTGTTTTCAACTCAATCGCGAGCCCCGACCAAGCGCCCTCAGCTTGACGTACCAGCCAAACTTCACGAGCGCACTAGGAAGTCCACCATCTTCACTATATAATTGCATGTTAATAACTCATTTCAACAACAACTTTTGTCGCGTCCTCTTGTCTCCATGTTGAAGATGACCAAGCGAACCATTACGCCAAGCGTGGTGGAGGGGCACTTGCAGCGTGCGTCACGCGCGTACACTGCACGCGTCGCGACATTACTGCCGGCCGCAACACCCACTCGGTTCTTTGGCGCGAGCACAAAGGACCGTTCTCTTGCCACCACTCGCGCGTAAGCTAGTACACGGACTAGGTACCGTAAACACAACCCCGCGCGTTGATAGACAATATTGACAATAAATATGAAAAAACTGCAACGACGATTACGCCTGTCGCCGCGCACTCGTGGTCGTGCTCGACGTCGACGCGTTCGAGGTCGTCCGGCGCAGCTGCGTCGGCTTGACCATGTGCCGGTCCTGCATCAGGAGCAGAATCGAGCTCCGGGTCTGGTGGTACGACGGGTCGTACAGCGGCTTGCGCACCGAGACGTTCAGGTGTGTGTTGATATTGGGCGTGAACGTGCACTCGACGAGCTCGAGCTGCACCTTCAATCGAAGCAGCTTCTCGTTGCGCTCTTGGAGGTACGTGGCCGAGTAGAGCCGAGTCTCGATCGGCGGCAGCGGCCGCGTCGGCTCGTTCGTTGTCGGATGGAACGCATACGCCTGGCGCTTGGCCTCAAGGCGCGCGAGGCGGTCTTGGTGGTACGTCGGGCTATACAGGCGCGCGACGATCGTCAGCGTCGCGGGCTCGTCGGCCACACTGTCTGCCTTGTCGTCGTCGTCGTCGTTGGCGGCGCGGGCGGCGATCGCCGGGCGAAACGTGCACTCGACCGCATAGATGCGGTCGCGGGCCTCGGCAAGGCGCTCGTCGCGCTTCTGGTGGTAGTCGGGCTGGTACAGCCGCTCAAAGACGCTGCGCCACTGGGCGCCTTCGGGAATCATAAAGGTCGTCGTCGTCGTCTCGTCGTTGTCATTGTCGTCGTGGCGACGGCGACGGCTGCTGCGCGTGGCAGGGTAGTACATGGCGGCGAGGTCGTGCGACGCCGACGTCGAGACGGTCGAGGCCGTGTCGGACCGGTCCCTATACTCATGCTTGGTCACGAGCGCGTCCGTGGTGGGCTTTAGCGGGCGGTCGCCGGACGCGTCGTACCGAGGGCCCCACTCGTCGGCGGAGGGCAGCGCCGCCGGGCTTGGCCGGCCGTCCATCGAGTACTTGCGCGTGAGGAGCGCGACGACGAAGGGCATCGAGAGCATGCTGGAGCTGTACAGTACTTGGTCTATGCACTTGCTGGGAAAGCTAGAAATGGCAGCTGATCGCAATGGTATCTTCCTGGGTATAAACAGGAGGCGCCATCTGGGTTAAACCTTCGGGCCAATCAGATGCGCGCCGGCTTACGATGTGGCCAATGAGCGACGGGAGCGTACCCAATCGCACCCAGAGAACTTCAAGTTCGCGCGCTTGTGGCCGACGCCGGAGAAAAACGCACGCGTTTAACGTCAAACGCGAGGTGATCGCGGATGGCCACGGCTTGTCGAGTATTGGAGCGTGGTCTGAGTCGATGGTGGATGTCCTTATAGGGAAAAAGGCCAAGGGAGAGCGACGACGACGACGATGAAGCGATCTGCGTGCATTGCGTCAGGACCGCACGTTGCGAGTGTAACGGTTGCGACGCACCATAGCCGTCCATTTGCGATCGCAGCTCGGTCGATTTCGAAGCTTGGAGCATAGCTTCCACTTGTATCTGGTTGGATGCGATCGTACATCGCTTGCCCACATACGGGCCGAGAGGGATGGGTTAAACGTATATAAACACGGCTGGACGACGGGGTCGGTCGACACTGCAGAGAGGCAGTATATTTTGTATCGACGTCAACACGTCCTTGGCCGTTGCATGCGACTCGAAAGCAATGGACCACGTGGGTTTTGTTGGGGTACGTTTAACCAAGGCGTTTGCCGCACGCGTTAAAATGCCACGTTCGCGCTCGCCGAGTTCGCGCACTTTTGTGGGAGGATGCAAGCTTCCACTGGCGCGATCATATTCGTTACGCCAATGTCGCAAGACCGTTCTCTACCGACGAGAGCCCGGCGGCTTGCCGTCCATGTCCCAGGCAACACGCAACACGCAACACGGTGGGCCACATGTACACCGTACACGGCCCTCGTACATGATATCAAATTCGCACCGTCGAGACGGTGCAGTTGGTCCTGTTCAAGTCGCTCAAACCTCGAACGACGACGACGCACGAGATGCGTGAAGAGCTGACGCCATCGCATTCGAGGTTGAGTCGAGCAGATCCGGCTTCTAGATTCCTCGACGATGGCACTCCTCGTGTCCACGCCACCGCCACCAGTGTTGACGCAAATACCAAGCACACTCTCGTCCTCGTCGCTTTGCGCTGTCCATGCATCGGGTTTTATTCCAAGTTCATTGGCTCGCGCCACCGATCTCGACGGCGGTACTTGGCCAGTAGCGAGGGTCGAGGCGACAAAGACAGCCGCCCGTGCACATATTTCACGTCCTCTTATGCAGTCGGCGGTCGCCCAGATTGAAAGTAGCTAGTAGGGCAGCACCTCTGCGCTCGACGCACAGCAGCTCCCACGTGGCGCTGTAGAATTTACTGGAAGCCGAGGCGCCGTTGCGCATCGCGGCGTATCCGGATAGATAGGAGCGCGTTTGGGCCTGCCACGTATCGACGAGATCTCGCAGTCAAGCGCAGGTTGTAGTCCGTCCACACGAGTTGACGACTGCTGGGCTGGGACCTCCGGCTCGAGATTGGGCACGATTGACTTTGCAAGCTGGCAAAGGGCAGATGCCGTGACCACCGGCGTGTCATCTTTGCTCGGTTGACACCGGCTACTGTACGCTCGGATTTGCCGAGAAGCGTGGGTGCCAGTTTGTTTTTCGCAACCGTTGTTGCTGCTGGCTACTGGATCAAAGCGCAAGACCTTGCCTCGTCTGGAGACTATCCAAGGGCGACGCCTCGCCGTGCAGTGTACCTGAATTTGGCACGTAGCAGTCGACCCACTTGTCGACAGAGATTGTGGACGACGTTCGGTCTGTGATCCGTGGCAACCTTGCGAACAAGGTGATTTGATGGCGCAGATCATAAGTGTCGATTCGACCAATCAGGATGTGTTTGGACCCCATTTTTGGCAAATCGGATTTCGGCAAAGGAGATGAAATAGTGTTATTAAGTATCGAGCAATCTACAGCTAAATCAAGCCCTTGTGCGGTGTTTCCAGCTAGTTCTTCGCAAAGCAGGAGTACGCACTGGTCAGAGCAACAAATTAGTGCAGTGTATTGGCAACGAAATGGTGTTGTGGCAACTGATTGCTCGAATAGGGATTGACCCAAGAAATGGTGTACTTCTTTGAAATACTGTAACTCGTCTTGGATTGGCAGTTCATTTGCACAAACGTTGTCAAGGCACTTCCTGAGAGAGGCAATGCTGTTCGTGTACATGTCGTACCAGTGTACCGCGGTGGCGAGAATGGAAGTCTTATCAGTACTAGTGTAGTCCAGCAATAGTGGGCTCGTCGACTTGGTGACGTACTCGCGATACGTTGGTGAGAACCAGCGAGAACAAGCCAAGGGAGCACCCGTTGTTTGTCGGGAGCCAAAATGTTGGTGCCAAACTGCACGGATCAAGACCCACGGCTCCTTAAACCCGTCCTAAACTGGTGGTTTGGGCTGTGGGAAAGACACTCGCTCGTTGTCGCAATCTGCGTGTCGAAATTTTGGCCGCGTTCGAGCTGGTCGTGTTGTGTCGCGTTCAAAGCCCCAAACTCTTGTGCTCTTAAAGCGAAAAGCGGGGCTCCCTTTTTCTCGAATCAAGTTGTAATAACGGAGCAAAACCCCCAAGCAAGTGTGCGTCGGCCAGCAAAACGACCCACACCAGAGCAAAAGATGTGGCATTTTAGACTCGACACTGCTCCAATGTATTGCATGGCTAATGACGCCCAACCTATCGTTGGTGAGACTCTTCCTCGGTCTCGTTCGATGCAACGGCTTCAACTGCAGAGTCCTCGTCGCATGCCTCGTGTACTAGATACCTAGTACACTAAGCAACGTCGTAAGTACCGGCGATGGCACTCGACAAAGGTTCACTTTTGTTTTGGTTTTTCGCCTGGACTCTTTAACATGGATTTACATTGGCAGCGTCCATCGATGCATGGTCGCGTCGCTGCGCAGCTTGCCACCGTTGCAAGCAAGAAGCTCTTGACAACGGTAAGAAGCTCAAGACAACGGTAAAGAAGACGCCTATGTTCCCTCCAAAAACCCAGAAACCGCACCCCGAAACCTTCGATTTTGGATCGCGAAGCTTTGCGCGAGCCGTTATGACACTGCTTCTGGGTCGACTACTTTTCAAACAACAACACCCGTGGCGATGGACGAGCTCTGCAACATTTGCTTTGAACCGAGCCACGTGGCGTCCGCGGTCTGGCGCTGCGACTCGTGCCCGGCGGTCGCGTGCCTCCGCTGCATGCGCCACTATGTGCGTCACAAGGTCAATGGCGGCCAAGTGACAACCGGCCAGCTCGTGTGCCCGGGCCCGTGCCGGTCGCCGCTTGCCAACGTCGAGCTCTTTATGCAGCCGAGCTTGTTTGTCAAGTACACGCGGTTTCTCAACACGCAGCTCGAGATCCAGCAAGGCACGCGCTACTGCCCACGCCCGACGTGCGGCGCGCCTCTGAATATGGACAAGTCGTCGTCCGCCAAGCGCCGCGTCTACTGTGCGACCTGCGACACGGAGAGTTGCTTTGAGTGCGGCGACCTCTTCCACGCGTGGCCAGTCTGCAAGGACCGACGCTTTCGCAAGTATTGCGACCGCCATGCCGTGCAGACGTGTGCGCGCTGCCAATGGCCGATCGAGAAGCACGGCGGGTGTAACCACATGACGTGCCTGCGGTGCGGCCACGAGTTTTGTTGGCTCTGCCTCGCCGAGTGGGGCGAGCACTCGAAAGTGCACTGCCTTCCACTCGCCATGCTGCATTCGAAACACATTTTGTACGGCCCGACCGCGCCGATCCGCTTTGTGACCAAGTCGGTGCTCGCAACCGTCGCGACGGGGTCGGCGCTGGTCGTGGGCTCGGTCGCCGCGGGCCTCGCGGTGACGGGCGCCAGTGTCCTCGCGTGCGCGGCCGTGTTTGTTGTACCGCCCATCGCCCTCACCAAGCACCTCAAGAAGAAGACCAAGCTGAAACAGCAGCGCCAAGCAAGCCATGCCACGGCCGCGGCCTGAGCGAATCGATGCTGGATTATGTGACCTGAACATTTCATTTGTATCTTGAATGCACCACTACCCGTCCCTTTTGTGTGCTGGCGACTCGAACTCGTTGGTGAATCCGGCAAAGCTCTGTTTTACCAAGGGCATGCCGTATGCCCAAGGTAGATCAGGCAGCAGGCATCCCTTATGAGCAGCGCATGATGGCCGCGCACATATATAGTTGAACGAAGTGTCTTCGACATGTATGCTAGCTAACATTCGAGCTGTCGTCGCGTCATGATGGCTCCGAATGGTTACCCTAGCCCTACCCGACCCTAGTCTGTGATCAACCGCTTCCGATCACGATACATGGTTGGGGACCATTTCATTTATCCCTGCAATGGACGCGACTAGGAACTGCCGGTGCCAAAGACGAAACATTCATGAAGCGCTTGCACACAACAGGCAAGGACGCTGGTGGCGTGCAGTCCGTGTTTAGGCTCTTCTGGAGTCGGGTGCGGTATGGTACAGTGCCACTTCAAGGGTAGTACCTGCACCTTGCGTCGGCAAACCACTAAGGTCGAGCAAACGAGGGATATGAGTTTGGATTCATATGCAAGCGGAATGCATGCTAGGACAACGTCTCACTGCAGAGACCGGTGACATGCTGTATCGGGACACGGCACAGCGGGCATGACGTCGCTTGATCGATCCAATGACCGATGCATCCTGCGTGGAAGAGATGCTTGCAAGACGTCACGACAATGACGCCGGCTTGGCGAAGCTCGCTCGCGCCAAAGAGCACGAGGCAGATGGGACACGCAGCGTTGTTCACGGCGTCGTTCGGGGCGATGCTCAGCGGTACTGCCAGCACGCACGTTGCCTCGCGCGACGTGTCTTCACTAGGCTGTGGCGGCGCCGCTGTCGGGATGAGACCAGCACAACTCGCTTGGTCGGCGGTCTCGTCGGCAAGTTTCTTTGATGTCGCAGCACCGGTGGCTTCGGGCAGAGGCGGTAGCTGGTTCAAGTCGGGGGCCGACGCGACCTCAATGTCTAGCGCCTCGGGGGCGGACGGCGTCGGGCCGTTCTCGGGCAGCACTTCGTTCATGGTGGCGACTGGGGCCGTGGGTACGCGCTGGGTCCGCTCCAGCGGCAGCACAATGCCGAGCGACGGTAGCACAATAACCTTGCGTACGGTCTGGACGAGCACGCGGACTTCCGAGATGGCCGATCGGTGCGGGTCCATGAGATGGATGCGCGTATGTAAGAGCGCAAAGAAGAAATCTTGGTAGAGGCGAATGCGCTTCTGCACGCGTTTGTGGCTCGTCGACGCAAAGAGCGTCGTGGGCAACTCGATGCGCAGCACCGGCAGCAGCAATCGCACGTACTCGGGGTCGGCTTTGAGCGCTTTTGCATGCTGGACGAGGTCGGCGCGCAGCGCAATCAGCTTGGAGTGGCGGAGCGTGACGTCCCACCACACCTTGTGCAGCGGGCAGAGCAATGTGATCATGTATTCTGTGTGCACGTCGTAGCTTCGGAGTGTGTTGAGGCGTGGCGTGATAGCGATTTGGAGCGGTGAGACGAGCTCGAGAGGCTCCTGCTCGTTGCTGCTACTCGCCTGCACCGACGGCGACGACGACATGCTGCTACGATGCTGCTCTGTCGTTTCTAGCACCAGCTGGCGCCACGCCCGTCACAAACCCCGTTTTTCCGGCGCAATCTCGGATAATCACACCGTAAAAAGACGTTTCCCATATGACCTTTTCAGCCAATCACATTGCGTCATACATGTCAAGCCACATTGCCGCCTTTGCCGTGGGCATTCGCCAAGTACACGTCCCTCTCTGGATGCACGCACCTGTCGGCGATGATTGTCTGCGGTCTTGGTGCCGATCGTCCACCGATACAATATGAATCGGAGCACCTCGCATACGTCGCAATGACTTGATAAATGTATGCGACGCAGATGGCGGGCGTGGATTGGCTGCAATAATGCCAGCCTGTCGTGTCTTTTTCCGTCTAGAAAAACGCAACTGCAATCTCGGATAGTGGATAGTCTTCTTGTTGATGTTACACCAAGAGCGGCTTTGGCGCTCGTCAAATGGGACCTGAATCGATCGCACGACATGCTTTCCACATACAACGTAGACGACTACGACACATGATGTATATTGCATTTGCTTAAAAACTAGTTTAATCATTGTACAAGCCCGTAATGTGGGCAATGTGGTCTCGACAGAGCGGGCACGTTGTTTTTGCAAGGCCAATCCAGCTGTCAATGCACGACGCATGGAAGAGATGGTCGCACGACGTCTTGACGATATGGCCCGCAGTCTGAAACTCATCGTGCGTGAAGGCGACAAGGCAGATCGTGCAGTCGTTGTTGAAGAGCGCTGCGATCGCCGGCGCTTCCGAGAGCGGGACGCCGACCGGGATGTCATCGTCCATCTCGGGCGCAGTGCCAACCGGCGGCAATGGCGGTGCGTCCTCAGCCGGGTTATACGGCGTGCGCAAAAAGGTCTGAACGAGGACAACCAGGTCGCGCACGACCGTGTGCGACTGCCGGCGCGATGCGAGGTGCAACTTGGCGCTGAGCAAGTTGCCAAAGAAGGCCTGAAAACCGCGGATGCGCTCGGTTTGGACACGGATCGAGGACGACGAGAGGCGGCGCCGCGGAAACCACGCCGAGGGCACGACCGTCGAGAGAGCCTCGGCGAACGTGTGCTTTTCCCACTGCAATGAGAGCTGGAGGCTGCAGAGGCGGTCGTAGAACGAGCGGATCTTGGAGTAGCGCGCTAGGATGGTCCACCACTGGCCCATGACGGGGCAGATGAGCGCGATGCGGTACATGACGACGCCCTTCTCGACGTACGCTTCGATGCGGACGCGCTCGACCCCGTTCAGATCCATGCTGAGCTGTGACCTTGGAGCCCAATTGGCAATTGCGCCCGTGACTCACCTTGCGGGTGGCGCCGGCTCTGTGGGTGCACCTTTTTTTCTAAAAAAACGCAACTTGCTGACTCCGGGTTGTGTGATTCGTGGGCGTTTGTCCTACCCTGGCTTACTTCACATGGCATCGCAGTCCTCTGTCTGCGGCCGTGCTGTCAATAAAGATCCAAGAACAGCGGCGCCAGGGTCGACACGAAGGCGACAAAAGTGCACCCACAGTTAGGATGGTGTCCCAGCTGAAATACAGCTTCGACCAGAGTATCACACTTGTCTAGCTCTTGTCGGCCTACCGTGACATCGTCAGTGTCATTCCCCACAGTATAGGTAGATGGTGGTGTCATAAACAGACCGATGGACTATACACCGACCTGTCAAGACCCGTTGGACTCGTTATCACCGAATCTTAAAGTTGGGTCAAGGAAGAGGGGCAGACAGAGTCTGCGAGTATGTAGCTACTAGACCGAGTCTAGTAACCATGAGTATCATTGCATTGCTAGTGTTTTTTTCGCTACACAATAGGACAGGACAAGCTTGGCGGTCGAATTCATGCACTGTCGACGTCTGTGCCGAATTTACGTGCTCGATGGTCGTGGGACCAGATACGGCGTCTGGCTTTGCGTCACCGGTGCTGTTTTAGATGCGAGATCTGATCAGCGAGTGCCATCGTGTCACTTTACACCACTACTAGACGGTCAATGCTACCAGTACACCACCGGTGGCGCAACAAGGGGTAGGGTTTTGCAACGCTTTGCATCTGCATCGTCGTACGGACTCGACCGACCGTCAACATCTAATCCGTGTCTAATCTGGTACTACGTCACATTGGATCTGGTAACGACGACGACACGGTGTGCCACTCCAGTTTCCACTTACTAGTACTCGTATCTTCCACAACATTGGACAAAAATGCTTGTATAAATAGTACAATAAGTTAAAAGGTACGACTACATGTAGAGGCCGACCATGGCATCGACGTGGTCTCGGCAAATGGGGCACGACGGTTGCGACTGCATCCACTTGGCAAGGCACCCTTGGTGAAACACATGGCTGCAGCGCGTCTTGACGACGACGCCGGGAACCGAGAGGTCGGCTTCACTGAACGGCGCGAGGCAGATGCTGCAGTCGACATGGTCGGGGCAGCGGACGATGGCCGGCACCTTTTCGTAGCTGACCGTGAGCATCGCCGGCGCGGCCATGAACGACTGGACGACGTTGACGAGCTGGACCCAGAGCGCGGGCAGGTTGCTGGCGTCGTGCGCCAAGTCGATGAGGTGGATCTTCGAGTCGACGAGGCGGCAAAAGAAGACACGGAACGCCTTGGTGCGCTCAGCGACGACCCACGACGCCTCCGAGTCGAGGCGCTTGGGCGGAAACGGCGTGTCGAGCAGCCACGCCAGCTGCAAGAGGAGCTCGCGGGCGAGGCGGTCCTTGAGCTTCGGGTGCGTTTGGTTGTACGCTGCAAAGAGCGACGCGAGCGACGTGCGGAAGGCCAGCACGGCCGAGTAGCGCGTCGATAGCGTCCAGTCGCGCTTGGTGACGGGGCAGCGAAGGCGAACGTTGTACGCCGTGTGCTTGGCGAGGTACCCGGCCTCGGTCGCACTCGTCGTTGTCGAGACCACGACGTCGTCCTCCATCTTGGGCGAGAACGGCGCTTGATGGTCCTCGTCAAACGAGGCCATGGGCGAGAGCGCGCGCACGTCGACCTTGCTCAAGCTGCTTCGTAGCGCCATGAGAGTGTAGTTGATTGGTGTTGGGTTTTCGGAAGCGAGTTGAAAAGTGAGGCCAGCTGGCTGTGCAGTGACGCCACTGGTCCGGCTTTGTGCCCGGACTTGAGGTTTCGAGAGATTCGAGCGAAAAAAGTGGATTCGCCCGCCCGTGCGACAGCGGCTCTTGCCGACGATCGCAACAGCGACGACCAAGCGCGCAGACAGGCGGTACGCGCGGAGGTGTCGATACTGACGTCGAGTGCGGAGGCACCGGAAGGCATGCAGCGCGCAACGCCTGGCGCCGCGCGGCCGGCGTCGACTACATAGTACCGGCGTTGAATGTGCGTACGACCCTTCCGTGTCGCAGGCGGATGACTGCCAACAGTGCCACCTCTGCTTGGTTTTCTCACCGTTTCACACGGTGCTTTTAGTGTTTTACACGTACGTGTGTTTTCTATGCATATCACACATATACTGCACGCGTGGGAAATTTGTGAAAAGGAGCCATCAAGCCTCTCAGCGCCGTGTGAGGACCCTTCATACGAGCACGCAGCGATAGCAAGATGCATACGTTTTCAAGGGACCTCGTACGCGGTGCAAGGACATCGGGAAGTGGAGATTCAATCGTGTGAAAAACACGTTTCGCACGTGTGCTATGTGAAAGAACACATTTCACATGTGGGCAACCCAGTGCAATGTGATGGCTTGTACCGCAATAAGTTCGAGATTCGATCGTCGTCGGGCGTCGCATCTGGCGCTCGAACCAGCTTCTGAGCGCTGCGAACAAGCGCGCAATTGCCTCCAGCACACGCCAGTGGAGGTGGATATGCTGTGCCCGCCGCCCGTTGGGTGGGCCCGACGCGCTGCGGCGTGTGGCCACTGCCGCCGCCAGCGACGGGACAGTTGAATCTCAGGGGGCAGCTCGCGGTTCTTTGGGACGGCACGGGCTCGGCGGTCGGTGGCTACTCGCGGTATGACATCCACCTACACTTGCACTTGGTACGAGCGATCGAACGCCGCCTTCTTCTCGAGCCAACCATGGAGATTCGAGTCCATACTGCGCACCAGCACCGTGCATGACGACGATGGTTCGTCAAATCTGATCGTCTTGGCTGCGAAAAGGAACCAAGCGCATTGGGAGAGTTTGACTTCAGCAGCAGCAAGCGTACACATACAACAACACCAACAACAGCGCAGTCGAAAAGAAGCGCGCGGGCTGCCGCAACAAAAAGAAAAACGAACGCGCAAGAAGCTAGCATGGGAGGAACAGCGATAGAAGGCTGGTGAATACAGTAGCAGGTACCAGGTACTAGAGTGCTGCCCCAGAGCGTTGCTCAATCGGCGTTGTCTCTGACTCGCGTACAATACGTGAAGCGGGAGGAGATCCACGTGGACGCGCAGAGCTGACGCGCAGCTATGTACGACATGCAGCTGGCTCATATTATCGCCGCATCTGATCCATGCACGGTAGTACCTCAACGCGGCAAGCTCCACTGGCAAAGAGTAGCTACGTATCCCTGACGAGGCTGGTAAACCAAGGTGGTCGGACCAAAATCCTCCGAGATTGAGCGCCGCCGAATCATCAACCTCGGAACACTGCCGTTGTTGAGCAAACAACGATGCTGCGCGGTATACTGTGCGCAAGGTGGGGGCGAAGGCGCAGTGAAACCCAAGTTCTGGACTGGTGTTGGACATGTACCAGACTGCGATCAGATGTGTACCAGATACACACGCCCGCTCGTTGCAGTTGGGACCGAATGCCCACTCTTTTCATTCTGATCTCAATGGGCCTCACCAGCCGCCAGTGTGAATGTGTTTGCTCAAGCTGTTTGCTCAGTTTCAAATATGCTGTGCACGCGCCAACCTTCCTTTGTGCGTGCTAGTCGGCATCACCGACGACTCGGTTCGTGTTGTGTTTGAACTCAATATGGTGCTCGGGTTAGCTGCGATCGCGAGCCGGTGCAAAAGCGGCTCCAAAGCTGCTCGTTTCACGCAACTAGGCGCCCAGAGAGGTTGTACTAGTAGCTCCAACGCTGCGCAAAGTTGACTAAGAGATAATGGGAGAAGCGCACGAAGATGCGACGACCACGTTGGTACACCTTTCGAGGTTTGGTACCGAACGTGTCGCTCGTTCATTAGAATGGCTTTCGAATGGCACGTCCTCATCGGCTGTCGTGATGAGGTTATGGGTAGCATTGATGGTATATTGTCGCTTTGGCGTGGGCACGACGCAGTCTGCTGTGTCCAAATGAGATGATTGAGTTTGAGTAAATTAAAAAATAACATCAAGTAGCCGCCAAGAAGCTAGACGGACACGGCAGCCGACAAGAAGAGACCGACGATCGACTCGATGCGGTGGCGGCAGATGGGGCACGTCGCCGCCGTCTCCATCCACTCGGCGATGCAGCCTTGGTGAAACACATGCGTGCACTGCGTCTCGACGACGACACCGGGGATACCAAAGTCGTCACGGCTAAATGGCACAAGGCAAATGCTGCACTCGGTCTCATTCGGCAGGCTCGTGCGCGACTGAAAGGCCATCGAGAGCATCGATGGGGGTACTTCGAGGAACGCTTGCGCGAGCGCAATGTACGTGGCCCAAACGGGCGGCAGCGCCGAGGCCGACGCGAGCTGGAAGAGGTGCGCTTTCGTGTCGAGAACTCTGTCGCAAAAGGTGCGGAATGCAATGCAGCGCTCGTCAATGACCCAGCCCGCCTCCGGGTCGAGGCGCTTGGGCGGAAACGGCGTCTCGAGAAGGCTCGCGAGCTGCAGCAAGAGCGGGTCGTCGCCGCGCGCATACGACGCATACAGCTTCTGCAGCGCGGTGCGGAAGGCAAGCATGGCCGAGTAGCGCTTCGTGACGCTCCAGCGGCGGCGCGTGACGGGGCAGACGAGCATCACGTGGTACTGCACGTACTTGCCGGCGTAGCCCGCGGCCTTGGTGCCAATGGACGTCCGGACGCGTGCGTCGGGCGAGGCCGGCGGCGCGGCCAGCAGCGGCGCGAACGCAATCGACGGCGACGGTGCTGCAATCGTCGTCATGGTGCTCGGGTGGTTCGATTGCGAAAATGGGTTTGCCAAGCTGGCGTTACGATATTTTATAGGGCCCCTACGGGGTCCTACGAAAAGGCTGCCATGCAAATGGCGTTTCTATGGACGCGCCACCATGTTTCTGGCTCGAGAAGAGAAGCAACCCGCAGGTCGGCCTGCTGTACATAGCCAGCGATACGCGCAACGATAGCGCCTGCCGAGGAATGACGCACGGGGTGTCTCTTGGACCCTCGAATTTTTACACTTGCGATGCGGGTCTGACTGTCTTCAGTGCGTTGGACGATGCTACGATTGAGCGACGTATAGTAGTCTTATCTCGATGCAATACAATTGTACAAAAGTACGTGCAAGGGGCCATCGATCTTGGATTAGCGAAGGCTCTCTTTGGAAGTCTTTCCCGGGTGCACTGTGGCTTCCACACGACAGGATTCGGTGGGGTGGGGGTGGGGGACCTACCGAAAGAGAAAAACAGCCTGGCCATGGTCCACACTGCAGATTCCTTGCAGTTGGGGCGATGGACTCGTCGCATCAAGTCACTTGTTAGGAATCTCATATTGCTTGCGCGTAGCGCGCCATTTCGCTCGCACGTTGACGCAGGCGCAATCACACGATGCATTGACGGCCGAGACCAGCAAAGGCTCCTCGAAATGCTGTGCCAACGCGAAAGCACCCTGGGATGGTCGAGGCCGTCTCCAAGCGCCACGTCATGGGGTCTTGTCCGCATCCTCGCGGCGATGGCATCCAGTCTGCATTCGAATCGACATCGTCGAAGGACCTGCAAGACGAGATGGACCACGCCAAGTTCACACAACAGGACCCTACGACACTGTGGGCGCTCTCGTGCCTAGCGTCATCGCTGCTGACATCAGTATCGACGATTGCGCTTGCATCATCGTTTTCAAGTGGTCCTCACCGGCGCTTCCGTAGCGACAGTGGGCGCTTGGGTGGAGCTACACTGTGTTGACGTCTTCGATGCGACGGCCCAAGCGCGGCAAGCCGTCGAGTAGTGGACACACTGTGTTTGGTCCTCACTGAGCTCGACCAGTCGTCTCTCACGGCTCCAGCGCACTGCGCGGAAGCGACGGGTGCGTGGCTGCGAGGCTTGGATCGTTTTGAGCCACTGCAAACAGATAGGAAGATAGATAGATAGATAGATAGATAGTGTCGCATTTCTCAGCCGTAGAGCTCCTGGTTCATCGCGTATTCGGACGAAGCGGCAATGATTGCGTCGACCAGCATCTCTCTTCCAAGCTCCGACTTGCGTGCCCATACGTACGGCCTACTAGCCTCGTGCGGAGGTTGCTACTGCAATGCATGGTATGGTATCGAAACCTCGGCATCGAGACGACAAGACACAGCGTTGACAAGTCAAACGGTCGTTGAAATAAGATTAAATACGAGACGAGAAGCACCACGCTTCTAATCGCTGTGGGCTTCGTACAGCGCCGTGATCTGCGAGATCGGGCCGCGGCAGACAGGGCACGTCATGGCGCGGTTGCACCAGTCGTGGAGGCAGTCGCGGTGAAAACAATGGCCGCACGGCAACTTCAGAATCGCACCTGCCACCGCCAAGTCTGCGTGCTCGAACGCATCGAGGCAGATCGTGCAGTCATCGTCGCCAACGAGGCACGTCGGCGCGGGTTCAAACACCACACGCCGCACGTCTTCTGGCACAGCAAGAAACGTCGCGAGCGCCTCCTCCATGGCGGTGGCGCCCGACGCCCGGACGTCCGTGTAGAGCGCAAGCAGGTGGCCGACAAAGGCTTCAAACCCCTTGATGCGCGCCGCAATCACATGCGGCTTTTCCGCGTCCATGTGTTTTTTTGGGAACGGCAAACCCAGTGCCTCCTCCAAGTGCACACTGGCCACCGCGTTCATGTGGGCCAGCGTCATTGTCCGGAAGGCGAGCATCTCCGAGTAGCGCTTGGCGACGCGCCAAGTGCGGTGCGTAACAGGGCAGGTGAGGCCCATGTCATACTGCACGTAGTACCCGAAGAAGGTCTGCCCCGACCCGATCGAGACCTCCACGTCGACGGTGGGCACGCTCGCCGACGTGTGCAAGTGGGTGGGCGACGGTGACGGCGACGGCAGCGACGAGGCGAGCGACTTGGCCATCGCCAGGAACGGTAGCTCTTCGCACGACGGTGATTTTTGCATCATGCTTATACTAGTCGACGAAGAAGAGGAAGGGAAGAGAGGGCGGCGCGCTGTGCAGAACCAAACCAAACAAAGAATGAGCTCTTCGACGAAGAACGAGATGCGGGAGACAGGGCGATCCGAGTTGCGACACGGACCCGCTTGATTTCTGTGGATTTAGACGACCCACTACAATCGCGCAAAGTGATTGGCCATTTTTGGCGGGACAAGCACTGTCCCAGCGAATGTCGATGAAAAAGGCTGGTTTCTTGAACTAAGCGTGCGGTCGACGGCCACTCACGCGCGTTCTCGTGGCAGAGACCGCCACACGGCACCAAGCATGCCACCACACGGTTCGATGAATGGCCGTCGCGCGTGCGAGAGATGTGGCTGGCGTGGGGACCGGTCGCCAGTCCATCCACTTTCTTTGGTGTCGCTGCTGTTGTTTCAGGTATGACACTGGTGTGGCGCGGCCGAGGACGGGCAACTGCGCCGATCTTGCGTGCGTGGTACGAACGGCCGTCGGGCAAGAGACTAGGTAGGACTACGTTGTTGGTCGAAGCCTTCTAGAAAGGCGAGGTATAGTTGCAGCTCTACTTCACCACCCGCTGTCGCCACAGACCGCAATTCAGCGTCCGAGTCCGTCGCGTCGATCGAGCGCGGATCGGACCGATACCAACACCAACTGCGTCATTGTTTTCGCTACAAGAGTGTACCTAGGAGTAGCAACCGTAGGTAACGTCATCGACCACATCGCTGCATTGTCAGCAGCTGCAGCAGGGTACCCTAAACTGTTTCTGGAGGTGGATTTTCGACTCAGAGCGTGTAGTGCTTGGCATCATCAGCGGTGAGGCGTACCAGTAGCCATGTTGAAGGCGAGGCGTATGGAGGGCGCAAACCGGGACGAGGTGGTCACGAAGCCCGGCGTCGTGGCGCAGGGCGTGCATCACTTGGAAGAGACTCATCGCTTGGGTACTTAGCGGTAAGTGATGAAGATCATGGTATTGATTGAGCCATGTGAAGATGCAGCTAGTTTCCAGCGATGCGCTCGTGAAACCAAGTGCATCTCGGTGGCTCTAGCCCCTCTGGCGTGAAGGGCTTGACGCCGAGCGACGCCTCGCCATGATAGCCCTGTTACTAAATATCTATGGAACCTTGTGCATCAGCGGTAGGATATGGCACAAACACGCTGCGGATACCCGTTGCGGCTCAGCCTGGTCAAGGAAAAGGTAGTTGTAGGACTTTGTTGATGGGCGTTTTGCTGGCCTCGGGCGACACCACATACCTTGTCCGTGTCGTTGAACGCTGCCGTGCTTGTAGTACCTCGAGCAAAGCGATGCAATTGCACGCGTTATTTCCACCGTCGACGCCGCGCCTTATCAGCAGCCAACGTGAGGTGGGTACGAGGAACGCTGGACGATTCAAGACCAGTCGACGATATCGGATGCCACAGGGCTCGGGCGCACCGACCCCGGCACGCACCATCGTTCGCAGGCTCGCCCACGCGCTACGCAAATGTATGACCTTTTGTGCAAATCCAACGGCAGGTTTATCGCTTGCAGTCCACGGTACTTTTTAATTGCTGTACTATCTCAGACGGTCACACTGCAATCTCACGTTGCGACAAGACTGTCGTTGCACGGAGCAGCACAATGTGTGTTGCTTGGCCCAATGCGACGCTGCACTTTGCTTGCACACCATCCCAGCGACTTGGACTAGTCTAGTGTGCTCGCGAGCTGCTACCTCGTACGATCGACGTGGTGGCAAGGAAGTAGACAATAGATCCAATCTGGAATAACTCATTTCAACAACAGATCCATTCTGGCCACGCCGAGGTAGGCTGCATAGCGTCTGTTCATCCCCCTGTACCAGGTAGCCCAAAGTCAATCAAATACCAAGGACTTGGTTGCCAATGGCACATGTCTTACCTCCCGAGAGGTGGACCCTACTGCGGTAGAGTTCTCGCCGTCGCTTCAACAAGGCGCTGCCCGGACGGGCGAGAGATGGAACGAGCCGATCGCGAACACTGCTCATCTCTGCAGTTTGGGACGAGCCCTAGCAGCCCTAGTACCTATATAAATATATATATACCTTGTCGCTACTTATCGACGATGTGGTCCATTTCGCAGCTTACGGCGGACTGCAAGCGTGAGCTTGCACTTGCCCTCAACGTCGCGCGGTGTGGCGCAAACATGCCCGCGATTGGTCGAAAACCAGCCAATCAACGCGCGTGGCATGGCTGTCCGGATACACATCCGGATACCTCGGCAAGTCGCATCATGCACCACAAAACCCGGCAACCTCTCAAACTGAATATCAATTGTGAATGGAAATTGCGTTGACTTTGGATTAGCGGCAATCGATCGACGATGAACCACCTCCTTGCGCGTGGCCTCCGCGCCCTTCCGCTTCGCCGCATGGCGACGACCACCCGGTCGGCCTCGAGCATCGGCGACGTCCTTGATGGCGCCGTGGCGAACCTGCCCCACCGCGAAGCGCTCCGCGTCTTCTCGAGCGGCGAGCGCGACGCCGACCTCCGCATGAGTTATGTCGAGCTCAACAAGTACGTCGACGAGCTCGCGAGCGGCTTCATCGACCTGCAGCTCAAGCACGGCGACACGATTGCGCTCTGGCTGCCCAACAACCTCGAGCACGTGCTTGCGCAGTTTGCCGCGGCCAAGGTCGGCTTGACGGTCGCGTCGATCGACCGCTCGATTGCGACCGCGGACGAGCTCGCGTATGTGCTCAAGGACTCGAAGGCAACTGCGCTCATGTACGAGAACAAGATTGAGCGCCGCGACCATGCGTCTGTCGCGCTCAAGGTCTACGAGGAGCAGGACCGCAAGAGCCCGCTGCACACGCTCATCACGACGTCGATCGACCCGACCGACGGCGTCTTGCAGTTCCAGCACATCCTTGTGAACGCGCTCGAGCGCCACGTCGTTGCCGGCCGCCGCAGCCAGGTCGACGCCACGACCGCCGCCGTCATTCCGTACACGAGTACGCTTCATCTCGACCATTTGCATGCAAGCCGCTCAATGGTCTTACGTAGGCAACAATGGCCAGCAGCCGACGCGTGGCACGCTCCTCACGCACGGCGACATCCTCAAGATGGCCCAAGAGTTGGCGTCTTCGTACGTGCCATCTTGGCATGCATCTGTCAACACTCATGATGCTGGCAACCCCGTAGGCTCAAGCTGACGTCGAACGACAAGGTCGCCATGTCCGAGGTCCCGGCCGGCTTCCTCGTCGCGTCGGTCGCGGCCGCCTTGAAGAACGCGCAGGTAATTGTCGCGTCCGTCGACCGCATGGAGCACGCCCTCAAGGTCGAGAAGGCCAACGTCATTGGCAACACGGACGGCCACTTCACGCGCGCGTAAACTGCATGTAGATGATTGCTAACAATGAAACTTACAGCCGTCTTCTCGTCGTCTCCTGGCCGAGCGCTCTTGCGCACGCTGCGCTGGGAGTCCATCTCGGCCGTGAGTCTCTACTTTGCCTCGACGTTTCTCTCGTTGCTGCAGTCGATCCTAATCAAGTCGATTCTGCAAGTCCTCACGGGCGACGTCGGCCGTTGGTATTGCGTCGGGCTACGTGCTCGCCGTCCTACTCACACTCGTGACGCTTCTCTCGGTCACCGCGATCGACTATGGTCTCGACCGGTCGCCCACGACGCGAGGACCGGACGACCAGAGCGGCCAAGGCCATGGGCGACAGACCGACCCAAGTGCGACCGACTGACGTGCCTCCCAACACCCGGCGTTGGCTTGGCGTGCTCGCTGTCTTGTGGCGGCGGGTGGCCACAATCTTGCCCGACTCCTTCCACCAAGATACACCGCCATCGCCGCGCGCGTGCTCCTGTCCG